CCATTTTTGTCTTCCCAGAACATACAAGAATCCAGCCCATCATTAAATTTGCAAGTAGACACATACAACTGAAACATCTCCATGAAGTGGAATTGTACTTTAAAAAGAAAGAAAAGCAACAGGTTTGTATTCAGTAAATATCTGCTTGTTTGTGTCAGGAAAAGCATTTCAGCTGAGAAAACATGAAGCTGAAAACCCAGACACAAGAGTGAAGACACAAGAGTGAAGACACAAGAGTGAAGACACAAGAGTGAAGACACAGAAGAGTGATTCCACTGGCAGTCACATGAATTGTGTGTGGTTAGGATTACGATTACAAATGTGGAAACACAGTATGTACAATTAACAAAATGTCACCAGTTCCAATAACTAGGTAGGACCACTTATCACAAATTCAAGATGTGTAACCCCCAGAACTAGGTCTGTGTCCATAGATCATCATAACGCTGGCACATGCAGTCACGAGGTAACTCTCCACCATGACATGCATGAAAGTCAATTGAATTTATAGTTGCAATCAGAGATTATCCAGCTGCAGGCATATACCTTGCCTTGGAAAAAACAGTGTCTAATGAATATTTTCTATTACAGCACATTTAGTGACGCTGGGTAGAACACAAAAATCTTACAACCTTTAATTCAGTGCAATAGAAATCTATCCAAAGGATATTGACGGTATCCAATATATCCCTGAATCTAGAGTACTATGTCATGAAGAAGATCGCCCCATTTCAGACTCTGCTGGTTAGCTTTTCAATATGTAGAAGTGAGGGCTCCAAACTTTCTAAACAAAGGGCTGCTTTCCCACCGCCCTATAGTAGAACTACTGCTACAGGGCAGCAGGGATGCGCAAAATCACGTTTATATAAACATTTCGCATTTCCGGGTAGGGGGCGCACACACCACCATATCGAGGCGGCTAGGGATGTCAATCACCAGGTCCAGGCCGGAGATTCCCCATCAGCACCCAGAGATCGCCGTGTAGAACGGACAGGGGAGAGACCTGTGTGTAAACAACACAGGTCTCTCCTGTCAGCATGGACATACTGCTGTGTATTTCTCTGGACAGCATGGCCCCCTAGTAAAACACACACAGCACACAGTTATCCCTTTGATCGCCCCAGATGTTAACACCTTCCTGCTTTTAATTAGCAACGATCACTGTATTAGTGTCACCGGAGGTGGCAGTAAGTCATTTCCCACCCCAGTGTCAGAATGCCCACTCAGTCCCGCTATAAGTCGCTGATCGCCGCCCCATCATCAGCTGGAGTACACAATGCCTCAGGGCCAGTAAGAGTAAAAAGATTGCACAGCACCTGTGGTCAGTAGGAGGAATAGCCATCATTGGTGTCAGTGGGAGAAATAGGAACCCATCAACAGGACACCCGACGAAGCGTTGCCCCCCCCCCCCCTCCCAACGCCAACGTGGGGGGCACTACTCCTGCCACTGACGACAACGTAGGGGCACTATTCCTGCCACCATCGATGGGGCGCTATTCCTGCCACTGACACCATGATGGGGCACTATACCCCCCCGCTGACACCGACATTGGGACGCTACGCACCCCCCCGACACCGACATTGGGACGCTACGCACCCCCCCGACACCGACATTGGGACGCTACGCACCCCCCCCCGACACCGACATTGGGACGCTACGCACCCCCCCGACACCGACATTGGGACGCTACGCACCCCCCCGACACCGACATTGGGACGCTACGCACCCCCCCGACACCGACATTGGGACGCTACGCACCCCCCCGACACCGACATTGGGACGCTACGCACCCCCCCGACACCGACATTGGGACGCTACGCACCCCCCCGACACCGACATTGGGACGCTACGCACCCCCCGACACCGACATTGGGACGCTACGCACCCCCCCGACACCGACATTGGGACGCTACGCACCCCCCCCGACACCGACATTGGGACGCTACGCACCCCCCCGACACCGACATTGGGACGCTACGCACCCCCCCGACACCGACATTGGGACGCTACGCACCCCCCCGACACCGACATTGGGACGCTACGCACCCCCCCGACACCGACATTGGGACGCTACGCACCCCCCCCCGACACCGACATTGGGACGCTACGCACCCCCCCCGACACCGACATTGGGACGCTACGCACCCCCCCCCGACACCGACATTGGGACGCTACGCACCCCCCCCGACACCGACATTGGGACGCTACGCACCCCCCCCGACACCGACATTGGGACGCTACGCACCCCCCCGACACCGACATTGGGACGCTACGCACCCCCCCGACACCGACATTGGGACGCTACGCACCCCCCGACACCGACATTGGGACGCTACGCACCCCCCCGACACCGACATTGGGACGCTACGCACCCCCCCGACACCGACATTGGGCTACGCTACGCACGCCCCCCCCGACACCGACATTGGGACGCTACGCACCCCCCCGACACCGACATTGGGACGCTACGCACCCCCCCGACACCGACATTGGGACGCTACGCACCCCCCCGACACCGACATTGGGACGCTACGCACCCCCCCGACACCGACATTGGGACGCTACGCACCCCCCCGACACCGACATTGGGACGCTACGCACCCCCCCGACACCGACATTGGGACGCTACGCACCCCCCCGACACCGACATTGGGACGCTACGCACCCCCCCGACACCGACATTGGGACGCTACGCACCCCCCCGACACCGACATTGGGACGCTACGCACCCCCCCGACACCGACATTGGGACGCTACGCACCCCCCCGACACCGACATTGGGACGCTACGCACCCCCCCGACACCGACATTGGGACGCTACGCACCCCCCCGACACCGACATTGGGACGCTACGCACCCCCCCGACACCGACATTGGGACGCTACGCACCCCCCCGACACCGACATTGGGACGCTACGCACCCCCCCGACACCGACATTGGGACGCTACGCACCCCCCCGACACCGACATTGGGACGCTACGCACCCCCCCGACACCGACATTGGGACGCTACGCACCCCCCCGACACCGACATTGGGACGCTACGCACCCCCCCGACACCGACATTGGGACGCTACGCACCCCCCCGACACCGACATTGGGACGCTACGCACCCCCCCGACACCGACATTGGGACGCTACGCACCCCCCCGACACCGACATTGGGACGCTACGCACCCCCCCGACACCGACATTGGGACGCTACGCACCCCCCCCGACACCGACATTGGGACGCTACGCACCCCCCCCGACACCGACATTGGGACGCTACGCACCCCCCCGACACCGACATTGGGACGCTACGCACCCCCCCGACACCGACATTGGGACGCTACGCACCCCCCCCGACACCGACATTGGGACGCTACGCACCCCCCCGACACCGACATTGGGACGCTACGCACCGACCCCCCCCCCCGACACCGACATTGGGACGCTACGCACCCCCCCGACACCGACATTGGGACGCTACGCACCCCCCCGACACCGACATTGGGACGCTACGCACGCCCCCCCGACACAGACATTGGGACGCTACGCACCCCCCCGACACAGACATTGGGACGCTACGCACCCCCCCGACACAGACATTGGGACGCTACGCACCCCCCCGACACAGACATTGGGACGCTACGCACCCCCCCGACACAGACATTGGGACGCTACGCACCCCCCCGACACAGACATTGGGACGCTACGCACCCCCCCGACACAGACATTGGGACGCTACGCACCCCCCCGACACAGACATTGGGACGCTATGCCCCCTCACTGACACCAACGTTGGCGCTACGCTATGCCCCCGCCCCCCCACTGACACCGACATTGGGACGCTACGCCCCCCCCCCCACTGACACCGACATTGGGACGCTATGCCACGCCCCCCCACTGACACCGACATTGGGACGCTACGCCCCCCCCACTGACACCGACATTGGGACGCTACGCCCCCCCACTGACACCGACATTGGGACGCTACGCCCCCCCACTGACACCGACATTGGGACGCTACACCACGCCCCCCCCACTGACACCGACATTGGGACGCTACACCACGCCCCCCCACTGACACCGACATTGGGACGCTACACCACGCCCCCCCACTGACACCGACATTGGGACGCTACACCACGCCCCCCCCACTGACACCGACATTGGGACGCTACGCCTCCCCCCACTGACACCGACATTGGGATGCTATGCCCCCTAACTGACACCCGACATTGGGACGCTATGCCCCCCCCCCCCGACATTGGGACGCTGCCCCCCCCCCCCCCCCCGACATTGGGACGCTATGCCCCCCCCCCCCCCCCCCGACATTGGGACGCTATGCCCCCCCCACTGACACCGACATTGGGACGCTATGCCCCCCCCCACTGACACCGACATTGGGACGCTATGCCACGCCCCCCCCACTGACACCGACATTGGGACGCTATGCCACGCCCCCCCCCCACTGACACCGACATTGGGACGCTACACCACGCCCCCCCACTGACACCGACATTGGGACGCTACACCACGACGCTACCCCCCCCCACTGACACCGACATTGGGACGCTACGCCTCCCCCCACTGACACCGACATTGGGATGCTATGCCCCCTAACTGACACCGACATTGGGACGCTATGCCCCCCCCCCCCCCCCCCGACATTGGGACGCTATGCCCCCCCCCCCCCCGACATTGGGACGCTATGCCCCCCCCCCCCCCGACATTGGGACGCTATGCCCCCCCCACTGACACCGACATTGGGACGCTATGCCCCCCCCCACTGACACCGACATTGGGACGCTATGCCACGCCCCCCCCACTGACACCGACATTGGGACGCTATGCCACGCCCCCCCCCCACTGACACCGACATTGGGACGCTACACCACGCCCCCCACTGACACCGACATTGGGACACTATGCCACCCCACTGACACCAACCCAAGCACACCCCTCCTACAACCGTCAGGAATTCCCCCCACCGCCGCCCCCTTCCTGTACTGACCTTTGAGCAGGAGAGCGCGCAGTGCGCGTGCACAGACCAGAGCCCAGACAGCAAGGTGAGCACGTGCACGAGCCCGAGCGCCGCCAGGCAGATGAGCCCGGCCTCCGGGTACTCATTGACGCCGTACACCGCCACCCACAGGTACAGCCAGGCCGGGTAGAGAATGGAGAACGGAAGCACCGTGCCCGCCAGCAGCCGGGGCCGGCGGCGGTACAGGGTGACCGAGCGGACCAGCTCGTCCTGTGCCGGCACACCGTTGACACCAGCTGACACCGCCGCCGCCATTCCCCTCTCTCCTTGACACTTCCGCCTGCGTCAGCGCCGCCATGCGCAAATTCCGCTTCCGCCGGCGCTGGGGGAACCAGGAAGTGGCAAAGACTGTGAGGAAGGAGGAGCTCTGCTGGCAATAGGTCATGTGACCTGTGTCTGATAGTAGAAGGTGGTACCTCATGGACCAGTATGGAAGGGCGTTCTACTCGCCACAAATAAAGGATGGCGGGCCACTTCTGCACAGGGACAGTGACTGCTACTGTTCACCTCTCTACTTGTCTCTCACTGAGTTCCCTACTTCCAGGCCCATTCACATTAGCATGTTCCAGAAATGAGCGCTCTGTGCCATTATTGGTTTATTATTATTATTATTATAATACAGGATTTATAGCGCCAACAGTTTGCTCAGCACTTTACAATATAACGGGAGACAATACAGCAACAATACAGTTCAATACAAGAGGGATAGGAGGGCCCGACTCATGGAGCTTACAATCTAAAGGAAGGGGAGGTGATACAAAAGGTGATAGCTGCGGGGGATGATCTGATGGAGGTGATTCAAGTCCGATTCTTAGGTGGAGGTGATTCAAGTCCGGTTCTTAGGTGGAGGTGATTCAAGTACGGTTCTTAGGTGGAGGTGATTAAAGTACGGTTCTTAGGTGGAGGTGATTAAAGTACGGTTCTTAGGTGGAGGTGATTCAAGTACGGTTCTTAGGTGGAGGTGATTACAGTTCTTAGGTGGAGGTGATTCAAGTCCGGTTCTTAGGTGGAGGTGATTCAAGTCCGGTTCTTAGGTGGAGGTGATTACAGTTCTTAGGTGGAGGTGATTCAAGTCCGGTTCTTAGGTGGAGGTGATTCAAGTACGGTTCTTAGGTGGAGGTGATTACAGTTCTTAGGTGGAGGTGATTCAAGTCCGGTTCTTAGGTGGAGGTGATTCAAGTACGGTTCTTAGGTGGAGGTGATTCAAGTCCGGTTCTTAGGTGGAGGTGATTCAAGTACGGTTCTTAGGTGGAGGTGATTCAAGTACGGTTCTTAGGTGGAGGTGATTAAAGTACAGTTCTTAGGTGGAGGTGGGGTAGGCTTCCCTGAAGAAGTGAGTTTTCAAAGATCGCCTAAAGGCAGATAGGGTGGGGGCTGACCGGACATGCTGTGGTAGGGAGTTCCAGAGGATGGGAGAGGCTCTGGAGAAGTCATGGGAGGAGGTGATGAGGGAGCTAGAGAGGAGGATATCATGGGAGGAGCGGAGTGGGTGATTTGGACGGTATCTGTGGATGAGGTTGGTGATGTAGCTAGGGGCAGTGTTGTAGATGGCTTTGTAAGCTGTGGTTAGTATTTGGAATGTTATACATAATGGGGCCCAAACACACCAAGGAAATGACAATTTTCTTGCGTGACTAACGGCAAAAAGCATGGTGAAAAAAAACATGGTGCATATCCCTGGGGTTTCTGCTGCTGTTCTGGGAACCCATGAAAAACACATTCAGAAGAAATTTGAGATTCGGCTGTAACAGACTTTCTGAATCACAATAGCAAGACTTTTCAACAAATCCAAAATAAACTATACCAAATATCATTCAAATTTGATTTCTGAATGGAAACATATTGCAACAAATACAGTAAGGTATAAAAGTGAAATAAAACGATGATTCCTGCTTCGGCTGCTTTGTAGAATAAAATAGCATCAGGCTCCATGCACACTAGCGGTTTTCTAAGCTCCTAGAAGCTGTTGATAGCATTTTATTCTGCTGCTAGAAGCTAGTGTTTTCCAATGTGTCCATGCACACTACTTTAGGCTATTAGTGTTTTTTTAAGCTTCAGCATCCAGGAGCAGAAAACAATAGTATTTTTAGAGTTTTTTGGAGCGTTTTTTCCAGCAGAAAAAAACACTAAATGTTACTAAAACACCCCTAACAGCTTTTTTTCTATCTTTTGTTTCTACATGTACTGTAAAAATGCTAAAAAAAACACTAATGCTTCTAAACACTACTAAAACGCTACTAAAAACGCTATTACCAGTGTTTTTTGAGCTTAAAAAAAACACTAGTGTGCATGGAGCCTAAAGCAGAAGAATAGAATAGAAAATAATAGAATAGAAAAAACAATAGAATAGAAAAGAATAGAATAATACAGAAAAGATATATAAAAACATAGAATGGAACAAAACAGAATAGAATAGAAAGAATAGAAAATAAAATATTTGAATAGAATATAAAATGATAAAGTAGAATAGAAAATAAAAGAATAGAATAGCACAAAGCAGAAGAATAGAATAAAAAAATAAACAAAATAGAATAAAACAATATATAGGAATAGAAAAGATGAGAAATAAAACAGAAATAGAAAAGAAAAAAAATAAAACATAACAATATAATAGAATATAAAGGAATAGAATATAATAAAACAGAATTGAAAATAAAGGAAGAGAAAAGAATATAACAGAATAGACTATAAAATAAAAGAATAGAAAACAAAGGAACATAAAAGAATTGATTATAATAGAATATACAAGAATAAAATAGAATAGAAAATAATAGAATAGAAAGTAAAAAAATAATGAATGTCAATGAATCTGAAATAAATTACAATGAAACAAAAATGAATGAATTCAAATTCAAAATGGAAACATATTGCAATAAATACAGTAAGGTATAAAAATAAAATAAGATGATGATCCCTACTTAGGCTGCTTTATAGAATAGAATAGAAAAGATCACAATAGAATAAAATAGAAGAAGAATAAAGAGAAAATAAAATAATAGAATAAAACAATAAAATATAAAAGGCTAGAATATAATAAAACAGATTAGAATATAAAGGATGAGAATAGAAAAGACTAAAATAAAACAGAATAGAATATAAAGGAATAGAATAAAATAGAATAGAAAGGAATACAAATGAACAGAACAGAATATAAAATAAAGGAAGAGAATAGAATATAAAAGAATAGAACAGAAAATAAAAGAATAGTATAGAATAGAATGAAATAGAACAAATATAGCCTTCTTCTGAAATTCAAATCAGTTTGAAAATATTGAATCTACAAAATAAATGTGAATATACAAAACAAATTCCGAAAACGACTTATTCTAACATAATGAATAAATGAAATTATTAACATAATGCATGAATTAAAAACTGCCAGCTAGCGATACTACGGGAAATAAGTACAACATTTGTACAGAGCGTTTCCTAGAATGAAGGGATGGGGATCGCTTTGAATAAATTGTAATAAATCAGATGCGGTGTCCGGCAATACACAAGTGTGAACCCAATCTGAGTGACTGATCTCATAAAATGTGTGAAGTGTGTCTGTCCACCATAGGGCCAGTTCACACAACATGCGTTTCAGTTGCTTATTATCTGCATCCAAAACGCACAGAAAGTAGGTTGTATGGTTGTCAGTGTCATAGTTCACATCAGTGCTCGCAGTTCCAGTGCGTTCCGGTTGCAAAAAAAAAAACCAAACAAACAACAGGCTGCATGATTCCTGCATAGAACTTGTGCTGGGACGCAGTAAAACGCATCAAAAATGCACCGGAACGCATCAAAGACACTCCGATTTAGTGACTCCCCCTGTGTATTGTGCGGAGGGATATATGTAATATTGTATATATTTCTATTCCTCCGTATAACTGTCATGTGGACTCCGGATCCTCCTCTGTACTCTCACTATGAAGACATGATGGCTGACAGCTGACATCTCTTATGAAGGATCCTGCATCCAGGTCTCATCACTTTGTTTCAGCCACACACGGGTTAATCAGACACGACCCCCCCCCCCCCCCCCCCCTCTAACTCTCCGCCTCCTTTGTTTTTGTTCTGCCAATCACAGGGCGCACATCCCTCGTACAGGAAGCAGAGTGTGGCCATGTGAACCCTTGAAGGGTGAGCTGGTGTCAGTGATCATGTAAGTAGTGTGTGGCTGATGGGTCTGGTTGTGTCTCTGCAGAGGTTGTGACCTTCTCCCTGATAATCCCTCCACTCTGTATCCTAGGCTTCTATTCTGATACATTGTATTCTGATCACTTCCTACAATTGGCATGACACCCTGAATGACACATACATCTGATACATATGAAAAGGAATCCACATTTCCAGCAAAATCCCATTGAAACAATTCTTTTGCTATCAGGCATGTTAAGCAATGGATTGCACATAGATGAAGACAGCATGATGACTTCTGCTGTGACCAACACAGCCAATAGATATCCATTTACTCATTACAGATGCAAATGATCTTACCCTAGGGTCACACCTAAGCGTTTTCTGCAGCATTTTGTAGAAACGCAGTACAGTCCATTTAACATGATTTCCTATGGGACAGGTTCACATTTGCGCGTGCGTTTTTTGGAAAGGGTCAGGGACTTTTTTGAACGCAAATGTTGCATTTGTGGTTCTATAGACTTCAATGAAAATGCTGAAGAAAAGCATGTATTGCATTTTTTGCTGCGTTTGTCTTATGTTTTTGATGCGTTTTAAATTTGCCTAGCAACAAGAAAAAACAAAACGCATCAAAATCGCAGGTGCAAAAACACAACGTAGAAACGGCTCAAACACAACCTGCATAGGTGTGAACCTAGCCTTAACCACTTGCCAACTGCGCCATACCCAAATGACAGCTACAGCACGGTTGTCCAGTTCTGGGAGGGCGTCATATGACGTCCTTCCAGAACGCGCCCCCTGTGATCTCCGTGATCGCTGTGTTCTACAGATGCAGCTGATCACGTGATGTGGTAAAAGACCAATCACAGCGGCCTTTTATCACATGATCAGCTGTGTCCAATGACACAGCACATCACCGGGTAAATGCAGTTGCTGGTTATTGGCTGCACTTTCCTCACGCTGTCACAGTGTGAGGAAAGTACTGTCAATAACTGGCAATTGTCAGAGAACAGATCGGCACTGATCATGAGGGCACTGATGATCAGTGCCACCCACCTGTGCCCAGCAGTATATTTAGGGAGGAGCCGCAGCGTCCTGACGTCATACCGCTGAGGCCCACGCTGGTCCGGTGG